TGGAGCGCTCTGCCTAATGTTATATGTGATTCAACTCAAAGCTCATTTAAGAGTTAACTAAAGACTCACTTGTTAAGACTTTTTTATCCTCATAGGCAGTTCTGTTATCCCCACATTGCCATGTTGTGATTTGTTTTGTTGCACTGTCTTTGTGAAGCTAATTGCATTGCAGTCCTGTTTTTTTTAAATGTGAATGTTTTGGTTTCACAACTGCAAGAAGCAAATCCACTTCAACATCCACACAGCCTCAAAGGTAAAAATCCACTATTTAAACATATGCTTACTCTTATAAAAAAATTTGTTTATGTATAGACTTCAGGTGCGCATGTGTAGATGTCCTACACAAAGAGCTCTGAATTGGCTGGCCGCTATATGGTTCTGTGAAGCCCTGACTAACCCTATAAACCTAATTACATTGCACTGACTGAAGGCTGTCGGAGTTAACAAAATGTGTAGCCAACTTGGCAGCTTCCTCTGGGAGCTCCTGTCCATTCAACTGGGAATATTATGTTGAAAGCGATGAAATACTATCTAAAAACTCCATTAAAAAGATATATAGATAGAAAATGTAGTTGTATATTTTATTTCAACAAGGACAGCATCGCATTTGTGTTACTATTTAACACAATACAAAGTAATTGATATTGCGGAACAATATGACATTGTTTATTTCCACAGGAACTAAAAACAAGAAAATGGAACTCATTGTTTCCATTTGGGGATTTGCCTGTCAGATACTGAACAACGCAAGTTAAGTGATCTCAAAATGTATAAATGCTTGATGAAATGGATGTGGACGCAATGAGGAAATGCCATGAATCAGTTAATGTCCTGGGGTTTTTTGTTATTTCAAAACACATAGGCAATGCATGTCTATTGAAGACAAACATTATTCTGGTACATTTGTTAAGTCTATAATACAAGATTTCCAAAGTCTTTTTAACTCAGCGTGGGGAGCACTGATTTGAATAATATAAGTGGTGTTTTCAACATAAAGGCTACACCCTGCAAAAGGATGCCACATCAACCACACACCACAAATCAATGTGTCAAGGATGAACCCAAAAGCAGAACTGAAAAAATTATATAAATGCCACAAAAAGTAAAAACTGAAACCGGGAACAAGACATGGAGGGGAAACAACAATGGGCCGACAACAAGAGAACATGAGCACAGGGTCTAAAAAATACACACAGGTGTAGCACATCAGGGAGGAGCAAACAATCAACGACAGACAGGAAGTAAAACTCATGACAAGAGAACAAAAATATATCAAAATAAAACCAGATACATTGTGAGATTTCATAACACTTTGAAGCAACTTTTGTTAAAGTTAAACTCATCATTCTATCAATGTGCAGAAGCCAGTACTTTTCCCTTGTTTTGTCTATCTGAAGGCCAAGCTACATGGCACCGTGGAAGCTGCTGATTGGAGGTCTCCATGCCTCCGCTCTGTATAATACACTTGCATTCTGTTGTGTGTTCGTGTTCGTGCTGTCTCTACCATCGACAATAAAACATGTCTTCTGTCTGAATTAAAGACGCGATCCCAGACTTTGTCATCTTCTTCAACATTAACAGGAAGTCCACACCATGACACAATGTATAATGTATGTGCTATATATAACACTATACCTTAAACGACACAAGACTTCCAAACATAAAAATAACACACCAATCTTAAAGAACAACAAAGAATTTTGAGTTCCATGGCACCACCATACAGGGCTTTCACAATAATTACGATTCTCACTTGTTCAATAGGTAATATAAGCAACTATTTTGCAATATCCCTTGTTTGGCATGCATTTTCAAAGAGCAGACGTCAGCAACTAACTCAGATTCCATGGCCTTGACAAAATCACTGTATAGTTTATTCACTTTGTTAACGGAATTATATCGCTTTATTATTACAAAGATATCTTTATTCATTAAGCCCTTGACACAATGTAAAGTGACTGTCTTTTTGCATTTAAAAGCAATAAAAACATTTTTGAAACATATTAGTGCTTTACAATGACTCCAGGGCTATATTGTATATACTTTGCGACGTACAGTGTGGCTCTGTGGACCAAACACCTGTGTATGTGTCCATGGGAAAGGGTCAGGTCTGGTCAGAGTCAGAGTCAGGAGTCGCTCATATGGACTGGATCAGCCCCGCACAGGTCACAAAGGCCACAGGGTCATGGGTTGAGCCCTCTAAACCAATCACAGGTCAGCGTGGGGTGGACGGTTTTTCCATGTGAAGTGAATGGTGCTTTGGATAAGAGGGGCACACCATAAACCTTTATGACCCACTTTGAAAAAAAAAACAGCTACTAATCCAACCCCCACTAATCATGATGCAGACTTTTTTCACACGCTGCAGTTACACTGGTGGATCTTTCAAATGTACAATCAATACATGCACCTTTTCATAAGACACAAAACATCATATGTGCATCACCCTTTTAGTGTGAAAAAATGTAATTGCTTATCATTTATAGTTTTTTAATATATACTTTAAGATATATCAGAATATCTGATGTTAAACAGTTGGTTTATTTGTTTGTGCATCGAATCTTCATATGCTTGGCATTGGCATTTTAGCCATGTACAATACATTTGCATTTTATAATAGCAATGAATAATGGGGTTTGCAAACATCATTTCAACCAATTGAATATGATATAGTAAATTACTAAAAGCCTAAGGGCTAAAATTAATTTACATACAAAGAGAACAAAGAAATGTAAATATGCTATTACAAGCCTGCATAATATGTCCTTCACCTCTTCGTTATGCGCACGCTGCTAAAATAACACTTGCTAGCAATGAGCCTATATTTTGAGAGTGGTAGGGCAGCCTTTTGAAGAAAAAAAGATTGCATTACAGCAACAAGGTCATAAAATACTTATATATAGATATTAACTGCTTTAGAAATCAAGTAAAAAAGTATATATAAATTTCAGAATTATCAGTACCACATATTGGTTATCTGGGCTTCTGGGCTATATCTAAGTATGATTTGAATGCATGTGCAAAGTGTGGGCCATTGCCTGCAGACAGAGAGGAGAAAAGAGGAGACATTTCAGTTGATTTGCCCTGACACTTGTTAGGAAGCTTCACAGCAGCTACCACGAAAGCAAGTATTTGTACTCTTGTCTGCAGCGTGCGTGTTCGTGTGTACGTGCGAGAAAGCTGGTGATTCATCCGGGCGCGCTCCTATCTGTGCACGCGCGTCCTCCTCACCCTCTTCCTCTCCCCTCCTCCCTCCTCCCTCCTCCCTCCTCCCTCCATGCTCCTCCTCGCTCCCGCTGAGCCCACGTTACTTTGATTGACAGCTGAGACTTGCCTTTCACCCACCGCAGAGCCCGCCCTTCGCGCCTCAGGAATGGCAGCTACTGTGGTGGATGGGACTCCCAGGCATCTCGCTCGGGGCGGGTCTTCTACCAGAGAGAGACAAGAGGGAGACCAGAGAGAGACCAGAGAGAGACCAGAACGTGCTGCAGGTAGGGTAGGATTTTTTTTAAACAAACATCATGCTGTTGATGTAGAAACACTGAGATTTGTGGTATGATTCTAAATATTATTATTTGTATCTCTACTACCTGCACAATATAAAGCCTATTATTACCAATCTCCAATGGCGCACTTCAATTTCACCAGTTTAAATATTCTCCATGTTCTATTTAGTTTTTCCATAAACATAGTGTTTATTAATTCAACGTGGGATATGCAATAGAAATGTGAATTAATGAAGAAATATAATTGTATGTGTAAATATTATTCAATAAAATTGAAAAACTATGTTGTTCTAGTTGATTTGACAATTATAGCCTCAATGCAACCCAGAAAACTATGCTCGATTGCCCTTTTGGCCTTCAAACCAAACTACTGGCTTTATTTGAAACCTAGTGCAATGTCTTATACTTATAGTCAAAACCATTACTATGTACTAAAATACAGAAAACTGCACGACCAGCATGACTATTCCTTACCCCAAAATAATACATAACCGTTTTCTGAAATTTAACCACAACGTCAGATTGATTTGTAATTCGGTTTGAAGACTCACATTTATTGTCAAAATAAACAGAAAACTTGCACAAAGTACTTAAACCAAGTCCACAGCGTCGAACTGCCAAGAATTCAGTGAAGCCTCGCTTTCATTGGCCAATTTCCGCGTAGCTCAACGAGGTCAACCGGCCCTGGTCACTTTCCGCCACGCTGATTGGTCACAATGAAACGAACCCACGTGGACTGGCAACTCCCATTGGTTTACAGCCGCTTAGGGGGCGGGTCCAGAGTGTCGGTTAGCCCCAGAGCGTGAAACCGCGTGAGAAAGTTGCCATTGAGGTAAAGAGAAGCTACGGGGAGCGACGTAGCTTGGAAGAGTAGTTGTTTTCAAGCAAAATCGGCTTTATTTCGCGATAAATCTACATGGAATACGACTTAAACTCACTGGGAATTAAATACGTCCGTTTATTTGACTGATTGGACGTCTCGACAGTTCGGTACGACCACAGCATCGTGTCAAGTGGAGACTCTTCAAGGCAATTAACTTGTGTGGATTTCCTGATTGACCTTTCCTGACTTTGTGGCGTGAAAATCCACTCGCTCGTTAATTTTCTTTGGAATATATCGGATTGTACATACGTAGAACAACAACGCGAAACCGCTTTCTGGAGAGCGGTGGTTGAGGCATTTCATTCCCCCACCTGGCTCCAACTACTGCTGCCTCCTCTCGCCGCCAGCTAATGAGCCGTTTCCCGTGTTTTTCCGGTTGATTTACGGCCACTGGAGCAGGAGCGAGGGGTTCACAATTCACGTTTTAATCGCTCGTAAAACTCGGGACGTACGGAGCATCGGGGCGGTCAGTTTGGGTTGAAATTAACGAGGGCTATTGCGGCGAATGGATACTTCTCGGTGGTCCTCGTCTTGAGCGTCCACTATTCCCCTTTGTGCTCTGTTTTTTTCGCCTGTAAAGGAAACCAGCAGCTCTCCCTCTGCTGATAACCATGTTCCCCCAGGGGCGCCACCCGGTAAGACTCTTCTACCCACGTGTCCAATGTACGGCCCCAGAGCCAGAATGGACCATTGTGCATATTGTTGTGGCCCTCTACAACCCGTTTCTACTGTAATGTAAGGGTGTCAACCAGCAACTTTAGTAGTTGATTTGCTAAGTTTTTATGTAACAATAAGAACCGACAGTTCTTTTTTTAATAGACAGCAACATTAATTATGACATTTCCCTATTATCATGAATACCACTAATGTCCATGTAGAAGCCTTTCACGAATGTTTAATGACTGCATATAGTACTCAATTACTTCGATGAACTGCCCCAGCCAAAGTTAATGATAACGCCCAATAGGGCTGTAACCGGTTACATGTGTATCACAATACATGGGCACAGTTCTGTATTGTGACATCAATATTCTGTTTCTCATTGTGAGATGTTTAGCGTCATAATGGAAATTCAATGCCAGGTTTTCAAATAGTGTGCCAGTCAAACCTGACAATTATTTTGTTCTTTTCATCCAATAATTAAAAAAGTACACTCAATTGGTAAAAAAGGCTAAAAGTTCAGGTTCAGTTCAGTATTCAGGTTTACACTTACTTTTGACATAATGTCAATAGTAAAATCTTGATTCCCACTGACCGTATCAATACTTATTGAGGCTAACCACAGTACGATATATTGCAAAAGAATATATTCTTACAGCCCTAATTTGCATCAGGCGGTAGAGAGACAATATCTGTAATAAGTGGTTTCTGGTTGCCTTAAAAAGCTGTAATGTAATGTAAGCTGTTTTGAATCATTTTCCTCCTCCTAAATGCAGAACCAGTTGTGTTCAATTAGTTTGCATGGGGCGTTTGAGGTGACCAATTGGCTTGCTATGTGCCATGGCTAAGCAAAGAATAAGATAAGAATTCCTTTTTTCGTCCCACAGTGGGGAAATTTCAAATGAAAGCCTTCTCTAAGGATGGAAACACTTCTTACCTCTATTTTCTGTATATATTCCTGAAAGAGTCACACAACAAATAATTATTTCCATGCATTTATTATTATTTATGAGTGAAAATGGCCGCTTCCGACTAAAGTTTTACTTTAAACCTGTTATTTTGTTAATATTGGTACTACAGTGCTTGTTTACATCCTGATTTTGCACTTGATTATTGGCCTAGTGTTTCCGGCCCTGCTATCTAAAATGTTAGAAGTTGGTAATAATTAGAGGTTGTTGACATGGCATGGTCTTGTGCCTGGAGCTAGAAGCACCAGATGTACATAGAATGACTCATAACAAGGAACTATCATTTTAATAACAGTGTTTGTGTGTCTATGTGTTAGACGCCCCACCAGGCCCCGGGGCAGCCCTTCAAGTTCACCATCCCTGAATCGCTGGACCGCATCAAGGAAGAGTTCCAGTTTCTGCAGGCTCAGTACCACAGGTGGGTAACATGGCCTGGCATTCTGTAACTAGATCTGCAGTTCGGCTTCAAAAACTAAATGTAGGTTTGGGTCATTATGTTCAATGTGTGTCCCAAAGACACAGTAGCAGTTCACATACTGTGCTATTGGCCCATGGTTCACTACCCCATCCTCACCACCTCAATTCCTTTACTCTTTGGTTACTGACCCCACCTGGAGTCACTTCCAATTAAGAGAAATGACGGGATAGTTGCTGAAATGCGTCAATAGATTAATTGTAAGTATGGTAAATGATTATTGAAATAACCAGTAATGTGTAATTATCTGATTACCTGCAGTCGTGTATACAGTCGATATTAAAACTGCGCTGAGAAAAGCTTTAATGCCTCAAACAGTGCCAGAAAAGTTTGTTGAAACATAAATTGAGTAAAAAATCTAAATCAAAATGCCTTTTATAATCAAAGCATTAAGTCACATATTTTACATGCTTTCTCTGCCGTAATATTTTTGTTACATTCTCACCTAATCCTTCACTTGCCATATTTATAAATAACCACTTCTTAGTTTTTCCCAGAATCAACATTAGGTTAGTTCATGGCCCGGTTTTAGACGTTGTTTAGACATGCGTTTGTGGGTTTTAAATCTTACTTCTGGTCTGTAGTACCGACTGGTGAATATAGATAATCTAAACACACACTCGCCCTGTCTTTATGACTCAGGACAACTTTCTCATTGTCGTCTCTCATTTAACATTAAAACCTCACCCAAGCCACAGTCATTCCCTTACCATAATGAACACAACCCAAGCCTCAGCCTCTGGTCTAACCCTGATACACATGCACTCGATCCTGGAGCGGACTCATGCAGCGGTTGGGCTCTGCGGTAGGTCTGTCTGGATGGATGAGAAGAGAGGGAGAGGGAAAGAGGGTGGCGTGTGGGCCCAGTCTTTCATAAATCACTCACTTATTTTCCCTTCTGTTTGTGGACAAAACCCGCAGTCGTGTATACAGTAAAGGCCCTGTGTGTGTGAGTGTGTGTGTGGATAGAATTTAATGCTTTAGACTGGGGAAGCAACAGGTGAAACACTGCAAATATTTAGAATGAAGGATTTTTACTTACTTCAGATCTGAGGGTCAAGAAATGAAAATGTTGTATGGGATGCAGATCTCCTGAATGGGGCAAATATTATCTGCTAACAACAAATATCATTAAGGCCATAAACCCGACTTTACAAACATGTTCTGAATTGCTTGTGGTTTTTCGATTTGAATAGCAGTTACTATTTCTGATTTCTCTTAATTGAGACAATAGCGACTGGTTGTTTGCATTGAGAATGTACATCATAAATTAACCGAACAAATGGTTTTAAAACAACTTTTTAAATTACTTGTTTGCTATAATGTTGGAAGTCAAAGTAATTCAACCAAATCTGAGTATTGTGTGTGTGTCTTTTCAGTTTGAAGCTTGAGTGTGAGAAACTGGCCAGTGAGAAAACAGAGATGCAGAGGCACTATGTGATGGTAAGAATCACCCTTACACACAACTCAACCAGAACCCATGATTTATTCTGTCAACTTTGGGTATAACCGGGGCAACTGTTTTCTTCTGAATGCACTGGAGAGATGCACCTGCATTTAGTTCACAGGTGTCTCACACATGCTAATGACGATGATTAGAGTGTCACATTTGACTTCATAATCACGTTGTAATTTGTGAATAGGCTCATTTTTGTCAGCGAACTCAGTCAGGAAGCCAAAGTCTTGTCAATGTAGGGCAAAGGTACTTCTGAATCCTCAATTTCACTGCGACACTAATGTAATACAATGTAGACCTGATGTGGAATTTTGGTGAAATTACAGGTAAAAAGGCACAGAAGGACACTTTCCATTTAAAACGGTTCAATAAGAACAGCTGTGGCAATATTATGAAATTCTCTTCACCAAATTGTAACCATTCAACCTTTGTGTGTCTTCAGTACTACGAGATGTCCTATGGCCTCAACATTGAGATGCACAAACAGGTATGGATGAGCCTCACCTCCTCCCATCTCTGTAAGGTCTGATTTATCTGGTGTTTTGTCGCGTCCTCGCACAAATGCAGGTCCAAGGTACGTTTGTGTGTTCGAGGAAAGGAGGAGGCAGAAAGGGTGGCAAGAAAAGGGAGAAACCCAAGATGATTGTAAAAATATGGAGAGATTGTGCAGATGGGGTTAACATAAAGAAGAAAAGAGAAAGGGAGGGTGAAAATAGAAAGGAAAAGCTGAGAGAGAAAAGTGGAAGAGAGGTAATGAGAAAGAGGAGAGAGAAGGGAGAGTGCGTGTGTGTTTATCCGTGATCGATGGCGCTCTGTCTCCGTTTCAGCAGTTAGGGCCGGTCGGCTGAGCCCAGAGGCAGGATGAATGGCTCAGTAGATTGATTGGTGCTGTCTGGGGGAGCGGCCGCTTTTATTACATTAGAGGGGCAGGGCCGGGGAGGGCGCTCCGATCGATCACAATGAGGCTCGCGTATAAGGAACAGATAAGAAAGACTCAAAGAGGAGCAGCAAGGCACCACCGCACAGTCATAGTGCAAACCCAAATGCTGAAGTGATAATGAAGACACGACTGTTTAGTAGTTCATGACAACAGTGGAAGTTGGTTTTCATTGACCTTACGATGTAGGCTTTAATCGGTTAAAGCTAGAATTTTTTTTGCACTAATGGATGATTGATGAGGAGAGAAAATGTACTTTCACTAATATTGTTTACTGTAATTTGTGTTTCCAAATCTAAATGTTGTTTTTAGGACGCTATTAAGACTGCCCAGCGGTATTTGCATGTGGTTCTTTTGATTTTAGATTTCTCACTTTATACATACTACTGGTATATTCTAGATTGCATCCACAAAATTGAGATGACAATTTGACCATAAGTTTGGCCTCTTCGTGACATTAGAAGTTTATACTTCTTCCCATTTTATAATTTTTAAGCCCCCTGCAGTGTATGTGCCAGCAAATGTCTAAAATTAGAGCGGGAAACTGGGATGGAGAATACACTTTTTTAGAATACTGCCAAAATGTAAACCTGAAACAAAATCTGTGCATTCTTCTATTGGACGCAGTGTCCTGAACATTGATTTTGTGAGATCTCGAGGCATAATATCTTGTCCCTTCCCTTGTCTATGATTTTTCCGCTTAGCCAAAACAAGAATATTCTGACATAGACCACTGAGGCCCACAAGCCATTTAGATCTGAAAGGGTTATTTATGAGCTTCAAGAATCAAAAGTGGCCATACAAGAACAAAAGCTATGTTATGAAAACATAACCTCACATTACTTATTGCTTGAGCAGATTTGAAATGCTAATTAATATTGTAGCACTTCTGGCTCCACTTGTGGTTTGACCCGTAATCAAAGAGCTCTTGTGTCCCGTTTGTAATTGACGTGATGTAACCTCTGCTTGTGCTGAGTAATCCACCTCTCCAAGGACAAGTCAGTGATATGGGCAGAAGATAAGGTCGAATGACTTCATATTCAAACACAACTATTTTATTTATTGAGGGTTGACTTACTAATGTTGTTCAGATAATTGCAACAATAAGACCAACAATGGCAAGTGATTATTTTAGAACTTTAAAACAATTATTTGTTGCTGACTTGTCAGATTGGCTTGAATCCAGATTTACTTAAATATATTAGAACATAGAGGCAAGAAAACGTCACAAAATCATTGACTTTATACACGACTTAAATAACATGCTGCAGATGAAATCTGCAGATCAAATTGCAATCATCAATGGTTAAACCCAGATTCCAGGAGGTGACATAAGATTGCTTGACGCATGATTTATCAAAGACATTGTTATCAGTTCCAAAGAGATTATAAAGTTTTCCCTTTGTGAGGCAGTAAAAGTAGTTTGATGATCCTCTTTTGAGTGATATGCTGCAGATAAATGGCTATAATATATTGAGATGCCAGAAAGAACCTTTGTGTGTAAATAAGAACATTCGGGTTAAATCTGCTCAATAAGGATAAAAAGGTGGCTGTGCACTACAGTGTTTTCCTTTCTGTGCGGTAAACATTTAAGTTGGTGTTGTCCCCACCCTGAGTGGCTGAATAGCAAGCACTTGTGAAGTCACAGGTAATTGAGCCGATGAGGGACATTTGGACACACAGTCTGCAGTCATAACCGTCACAAGGCAAACACGTTCATGCGTGAGAACATGCAAGAGGTAAACAAACTTGGTTAAGGAAACGCACATCATTGGCAGAGGGGAACTGACATTTAAAGTTTGATTTGGGGACTAGTGTCAAAATTAATTTACTACTATTATTACTGCAACCTGGGGTCATTAAACAAAAATATTTTACATGTATATTATGTATTTTGGAATTTCATTTTTAATTAAGTTATAAACTTGGAAAAAAATTATATTTTCCCTTTAGTACTATTCCTATACAAAAAAAAAATCCTAATTGGATTTTCTTTAAAAAAATTGTTCATGCCCGTCTCTCCCTCACACAGAGCAGCTAGGCTCAGGGCATTTACCAGTAATTACTGCTGCTATCGACCGCTGAGAACAGAGGAAATTGGAGGTGGATTGGCTTGGCTCCTTCACTGGAGGCGAGGGATACCTCCCTCTACATTCCTCTCATTATCACAGTCCAACTTCACCAGTGCTCTGATTTACAGTTATATCTGTGACCAAAAAAAAGTTTGTTTTACAATATTCAAACCCTAAACATCAAACAGGTAATTTTGCCTTTTTAATTGAAAAATGGCGCATTGTTAGTATTTGATAACTAACTGGTAGAGCTATCCGTGATAAAACTAAAGTAATGGCGTCAGATGACAGGGCTTGAAACAGTAACACAAGATTTAATGAGTAATAAGCGCCACACAGTTCTCTATCCTCATAGACATATGTCTCAACATATGATGAAATTTGTAAATGTTGAACACAGACTATTATTTCTTCTACGCTGGCATCTTTCATTTCATCTGGCGGCACGGTGGCTGAGTGGATAGCACTCTCGCCTCTCAGCAAGAAGGTCCTGGGTTCGAATCCCGGTCGGACCAGGGCCTTTCTGAGTGGAGTTTGCATGTTCTCCCCGTGTCTGCGTAGGTTTCCTCCGGGTACTCCGGTTTCCCCTACCACTAAAAATATGTCCAATAGTTCTGGCATGTGCCTCCTGTACTGGCCCCGCTCCCATCTCTGTGTGGAGTGACAGACAAATGCCCAAAATTAACAATTGTAAACCGCTTTGAGACTCAGATCTGCAGTGAAAAGGCGGTATATAAATAAAAACTTACTTACTTACTTACTATCTGAAGCCACTGTTTTTCTGCTGAGGGACATGTACCTTTGAGTGGTCCACACAAACACACAGTAAAGCGCAGGAGGAGGTCATTAGCTTGGGGCTGCAGTTGTCAGAGCAACAAGCTTGTGTAGGCGGGGGGCCGAGGGAGGCAGACTAACAACCGGCCCCCCGCTGGGTACATTCGCTTGTGTGTGTACGCACTCTGCCAATAATTCTCCAATTATACGTGTAATGAGAAGTCTGTTCTCTGGGAACACTCTCAGGGACTTAAATTTTAGCTTCAAAATGGAAGGAAATCGGGCAAATTTTGCTTGCTAAGATTCTCAAAAGAGGTTGTATATCAAGGCATCTCGACAAATCATGGCAGTGTTTTCTCTCCTACCTGAAACTATGTGAGCTGGATGGATGGAAATTATCTTATAGTATAGTAATTTATTGGTTTTTAATAGTAATTTATATTCTCAATAGCTTTTTCAGACATTGGTCTACAATGTCTACAACATGTATGGACATTTTCTAACATGTGTTCTATATTCTTTCTGTGTTTTAACTGTTGATTCTCTGATCTGTGTTGGTGATTTCAATGGTTTCGTTAAGTCCTCTGAGATTACTTCTGTTGTGATTTAGGGCTATACAAGAATAAATTGTATTGTATTGTCTTCCTGCTACCTTATGGACCAATGGCTCCTTTGTTAAGACACGGATTAAAGTCCCTTGAGAGTGATTTCAAATAAATGTTATCATTTGGAAAAATATAATTGGTTGATTATTGGGTATTTTGGTTGACTATGATGCTATCAATTTTTCAGCCGTAAGTACCGATACAGTCAGATTCAAACCTCCGTGTTTACCCAGCCCGGTATTCTACCTCTTTGTAAGAGCTAATATTATTAACAGTCTGAGTTAGAGAAAAGATTGAACAAAATGGCGACAAATATAGGTCCAGCACCTTTGTACGTGATATCTGATGTGTGAGAACACTTTTGGATTATAAAGAAGAAAAGCAGCAAGTCAAAAGCATTGCCGTTTGCAAGGTGTGTGACACAAATACTGAAAATGTCATTTTTTGTGTGATATGTGTGACGGTGGGGCACTTGCTGCTGTTTGCTGTACACACTTGGACGGGTTTCCACATCCTCCTGCAGTGTTCTGACCCCGGAGTAACTGTGGCCGCTCTGTAATGACAGTGGATCCAGCGTTGACAGCAGCTCAGTGAATGCTCAGCCGTAACGTAGTCATAATGTACCCAGCGCGTACCATTGACGGGAGGATTCTCCGCTTGTTGCAAGAGTGTGTCTTTGCGTTAACCTGTGAACGCAATAACTACACTTCAAGAAACAGAGCTTGACTATGGAGCCTAAAGCCTAGCGTACATCGGACTGGCAACTGATTATATATCATATGAGCATATGGGCATATGAGTTGCTGCCAAGCACCCATCGACAATCTGACGAAAACGGGCAACTCCCAGTAGCAGACCAGTCTCGGGAATAACAGCGCGTACATCGACAGCAACTGGCCTCAACTACAGTGTGTTTTCTGACATAAACTGTTGCGGGCTCGCAATACACGCAATACACACACGTTGTCGGAGCGGCGCATGGAGCGCGCACATCGGGTCATATCTCCGAAACTGAGGACAACTAGTTGCCGAAAAGTAGAACACGGGCAACTGACTGAAACTGGAGATCGACTGATCATCTGCAGTTGTAAGAGCGCGC